AGTACCAATTTGATGGCGAGTACAAGTGGAGCCCATTCTTCTGCTCTTGTGGTGCCTCACTTTGGATAATGGGCTTAAGTTTAATCCAAGAAAGTGTAAGAGGAAACAGCGTAATTTTCTGGGGCCTCGTGTTAAGGTCTGCCAGGCAGGACCAGAGCCGCGCTCAGGCTAAGACCAGCAGTGCGTCTCCCTGGGCGAGACTCCCACGCACCTGGCTGTGTGACCAGGTCTCCCGCCCGGCTGGGAGCGCGGCTGTTCGCCAGGCTGTGCGCGCGCAGGCCGTTCTCTCAGGCCTTCCAGGTGGCCCCTTCCCCAACTCTGGGGGTCCCCTGACGCCGCTGCGCTGAGTATTCCGCAGAGCGAATATCCCACAGCTCCTGCGCCACCCTCTCCCTCCTGCTCTGTCCTGACCACCCGGCCCCCTGGTCCGCCTGAGCTCCTCACCCAGGTCCTCGACCCGGGACTGCCAGCTCCCCCGGGGCTCCCCACCCGCAGCCCTGCCTGGGGTGCTTGCAGGGCTCCCTCGTGCCTCTCCTGTCCGTTGTCTTGAAATTGTGCACTTTGTCCCGTTTCCTGGCTGTGTCAAGCAGGAGGGTGGATCTGACTCCTGTGATGTCCTGGCCACGGTGGGAATTTGTAGGCGTTGGATTTCTTTCCCATAAGCAGTTCAGACCTCTCTATCCCATCGCCACTCTGAGCCTGTCGTTTCTGACACCAAGTGCCGTGTGAAATGTGGGCTCCATCCAGTAATGGCCGCGCCCTGGCGGCAGTCCTCCTGCCGTGGAGTAGCGGGTTGCCCGGGCTACGCGTGGACCCCCAGCCCGAGGGCCACTTGCAAACCTAGCCGACCAGAGGTGGCAAATGCTGCTCAGCCCAGGGCCCACAGCGAGACTCCGCCCCAGCTTGCCCACGTCAGGCCAGGCTGCCCCACGTGGCGTTTGGTCCACCGCGGTCGCCCACGCCCTGAGCAAGGCCCCCGGGCAAGTCCTGCCTGTGAGGACGCAGCGAGTGCCTGAGCGCAGAGCCCAGCCTGCAGTGCCTCAGGCCGTGGACATGTTGTCCCTGGCAGGCCCACGTTGGCCTTTTCTGCTGCTCGTCTTTGCACAGTGGCACTGGGCTTGCCAGCGAGTCAGAGGCGGGCTCCTTTGCCCCCCATGCTGCTAGGTGGGGCAGCGGCTTGCCCGGCTCAGATGCAGCCTGCTCCCCAACCTGGCCCCACTCCGGGGGTCCTGCAGACATTTCCAGGGGCTCAGGGGTCGGCGGGGGGGAGGGGGTGCTGGTTTCCCAATCGTGCTGGGTCCAGACTGTGCAGCCCCAGGGCTCTCCCCCATCACTGGACCACCCACAAAGCCCTTCCCAGGCACCTGGAACCCTGAGGCCTCGCCTTCCTTCCCCCACCCAGGGGACGTTTTTAACAGCTTCTGCCGGCCACTCCCCACGTCCATGTCCAGGTCAGTCCTGGAGACCCTGACACTCTCCACTGCCATGAAGTGTACTCCCCACGACGGCTGCTCGTTACTCCTGCGTGTCGGCACCTCTGTGACCCTGCATGGTGAGCGGTGGCCTTGAGGGCAGCCGGCCCAGACTGGGCTGACAGGTGGGAGTGGGGCTGGGAGGGCTGCGGGGGGCTCGGGGCTCCCTCGGTCCCAGCCAAGACCTGGGTGCTCAGGGGGTCGCTGCTAACTGCGCTTCGCAGAGAGGAGGCCAAGGGAAAGTGATGACCACGGGTTGGGGGAGCCCTGCCCTGACCGCCCTGCTGGCCCTGCCTCCCCAGAGCACCTGCGGGGCCTGGAGGCCTGCTCCACCAGCCTCCACACCCAGGAGACGCAGTGTCGGAGTGTTCGCCTCCCTCGGGCCTCCCGCCGGCTGCAGGTGGGGCAGCAGGTGAGGCCAGAGCCCGACCCAGACCCAGACCTGCTGGCCCATCCTGGGGCTCTGCCACCCGAGTCCCGAGGAATGGGCACCCCCCCAGCCCTGGACTCCGCCATGCGGGCAGAGCCGGCCGGGGCAGCTGGGCAGTGGCCTCTGGGTCCACCCGGCTCACACCTGCACCTGCCCAGCTCCAGGTGCACTTCAGCTGCTTCGAGGTGAGTGTGGCCCAACACCTCTATGTCACCCTGAGGACTGTCCCCCACTTCTGCGGGGTCCAGCTCGACCGGCAGTACCACGTGGAAGGTGGGTCCTGACGTCAGGCCTGGGCACAGCTGCCTTCTGGGGTCTAGGCACTGGACCGGCCTGGGGTGGGACTCAGCCACGGCAGGGGCAGGCCCCCATGCTGGACAGCTCCCAGCAAGGCTCTCGGCTTAACTGGGGTCACATGGACAGAGGCCCAGCTGGGGGGATGGCCCCGGGGCAGAGTGACCAGGCCCACCACCGCCTCTGGCATTTGCAGACTGCGCAGAGGAGGACGTGGGCAGGAACGTGCGGGACTGCTTCGGTGAGTCGCCCTCCTGCGTGGGCCACACCTGCCCGGGAAGACCCCCAGGCTCCGCCTCTCCCTCTGGGGTCTTCTGCCGCACCTGGGGAATCCTGATGGGGCCTCAAGTGGGCGCTTCTCAACCAAGCAGAGGTCTCCGCGTCAGGCTCCGGGACAGACGGAGCCCGCGTTGGCGACCGCGGGTCCCTGCGTGGCCCGCATGTGCCACCTCCTGCAGCGGGGAAGCTCAGCTACCGGGTGGACCGCAGGCGCAAGGCCGTCCTGGCGCAGGTGCCCGAGACCTCGGGGACCCGCGACTTCTACGTGCGGCTCTGCCTCCGGCGGCGGTTCACGTGCGAGGACGCCGGCGCCCCGGTGCGGGTGAGCCCCGCGCCAGGCCCCCGCCCCTGTATCAGGC